CCCAGAGGCCCTGGCTGACCTCTGCCTCTCCCCACCACCTGACCAGCACGCTCTGGGAAGGTAAGGCAGCAGACCCCTTTCCAACCAACTTCAGAACGTTCACAGGCAGGCCAGGAGGCAGCTGCGACAATCTTGCCCTACTGACCATGGGGCAGATGGCGAAACTGAGGTCCAGTGTGGGCACAGCCTCCAGCAATGGAAGCAAAGCTGGGACCAGCTTCCCCCCTCCAGCCCTGACCTCTGCCTTGGATGCCACGCCCGCAGCTGGTGAGGCTCCAGGCCCAGGTCTCTGAGCTGCCCAAGTGTGGACAGCCTGGACTGCCGGGGCACATGGTGCCCTCTGGGGACGTAGCCCTGGGTCAGGGGCACCACCAACTCCTTCCAAAAATGATCTTCTGCAGGAGGGCAGTGTGTTTGATCATCCTAAACAGATGCCATTGGAGGGGGTGGGAGAGGCTTCCTTTGGTGGGGGGTCCTGGCTGCCCCAGGTCGAGCTCCCTCCAGCCTGGAGTACAGAGCGAGCTCCACTCACCTCAGCATCCTGGGGAGGCCCAGGGTGCAGAAAGCGCCCTCACCCCTCTCCAGGCCCCCAGGCCCCTTCTGGAGTCTGAGAGGGTATCAGACAGCCCGCATCTCTGTTCTCCACCCGCAACCAACCCCTGCCACCTGGGCAGCCTCTCCCTGGCCCTAAGATGCCCGATTTGGGCAGGACCCCAGCCCACCTCCCACATCTGCCCCTGAGGGTCTGGGGACCTGAGAGTGGAGGACATGGTGGGGTTTCGGGTGACGGGACAGGGCGAGGCTGGTACCCTGGGGCCCTGCGCCGAGGCCTCCTTTCTTGGATGGGTTCTGGTCTCTGCCCGGGGTGGGGCCACAGGCAGGGCAGAGCTTGTCGGGAGGGGATCACAGAGCAGTGCGGGATCCCCCAGAACAAATGGGGAGCAGGCAGGGCCAGGGCCCCACCCTGGCTGGCACCCAGAAGCCAGTGCTAGGAAGACTGACATCTGGAGGACCCGGGACTCTGCTTTCTCACCGTCCGATTCACCTCTGTGCTCTGGGACATCTTTCTAGAAAGTTCCCTAATGCCCAAGCTTTAGGGAGAGGGGTGACCCATTAACCCAGTCACATATTTGACTAGTTAGCTATTCCCAATCTCAGCCCACCCCCTGGCAGGGACAGATCTGATGACTGGAGAGCTGCCCGGTGAGGGGGGCATAAGGAGGAATTGGGGGGTTCACTGAGAAAAGAAAGGAAGAGAGAAAGGGGGCTGCTCCTGTCCTGATTCATCACCCCAGCTTTGAGCTGCCTCACTGCTCACCTGGGACAAGTCTCTTCCCCCTCTGTGCCTCAGTTTCCCCATCTGTACACAAAAGGGACTAGATCCAGCCAGCCCTGATGTTAGCTGGTTCTTCCACCCAAGGGCGCAGAGCAGACCCTGGACCTGGGGTCTGGGTGATGTGAGCAGACGGGGCACCTCCTGGGATTGGGGGCAAAGCCCAACTTGGCCCCTACACTCTGGCGAGTGCACTCAACAGGACTCTCCGGCCCTTCTGGGCAGATGGGCCCTCGGGTGGGAGAACGAGGGGGCTGAGCGAGGCAATGGGGTGCTGAGGGTGTGACCACCGTGGGCTGGTGGGCAGAGATGGGGGATGGGGTCTCGCCTGCCACCTCCAGCCTCGGGGCAGGGGGCATCCCCTGAAAGAGGCCCCCCAGGCCCCTTCCCGCTCAGACTAACAGCGCCTGAGGGTCAGGAGCCTCCTCAACTGTCACAACAACCCTGGTGGCTGGAACCTCTCTTGTCTCCATGGAACAGACGAGGAAACTGAGGCCCAGAGAAGAGAAGCCCCTGGGCTGTGACCACAGCACTGCGCCAGCTGTGGGGGTGGGGAAGGGAGCTGGTCCCTGCTGACCACTGAGACCCGCCAACAAGCGCGGGGGGAGATTTCCCTCCTGCTCTCAGCACCCCAGTGGGGAATTTCCCAAGCTGCTGGGCCTCCCTCAGGGCGGGGAAGTCCAGGGGTGGGGGCTGGAGGGTGATAAGGGCCAGCGGAGGCACTCAAGGCCAGAGAGATGAGGGTATCACAGCTACGGGAAGGCAGGGGTGACCCCAGAGCAGGGCTTGTACCCAAAGACAGCTGGGGTTTGGCGTGGCCCTGCTTGCTTGGGGGCCCTCGGCCGAGGTCTGGGTATGTCCTCAGCAGCTGCCCAGCTCCCTTGGGCACCCACCTACACACCCACCATCACAGCAACTGATGCTGGGTCTGCGGGTCCCCAGCGCCACCTAAATGAGGAAACTGAGGGGCAGACCTGCGGCTGGGGGCTGGACCACCAGGCCAATCTGCGGAGGCACCACCTTTGGCCACCTAAAGGCTCCTGCATTCCTCCACCCCCATCCCCCACCCCTCAGGCTCCTGGAGGACGAGGGAGGGAAGAGGGCAGGGAACACACTCTGCACGCCCCCACCCCCGAGAGTAGGGGCCCCCTTCAACCTGTGAAGGGAGGCTGGAGGCATCTGCCCCTCTCCATCACCACCCCCACCATGGCCACTCTGGGCCCCAAGACCCCGGAGAACATGCTGTTCTTGGACTCCCCAGCCTGCCCTGCCATCCCTGGGTCTCTTCTGGCTGCCCCCCTCCGCTGAGGCCCCTCCAGGCTGCCGGGGCACACACATCTGGGGGTGTACACACCCGGGGGGAGAGGCCCAGCTCACAGAACCACAGTCCCTTCTGTGGCGCTGCACTAACGTGGCCTGTGGTCCCACCAGCCTGGTGGATCCACGGCACCGGGAAGACCCCAGGCCCAAAAACGTCCTCCGTCACACACTGGGACCAGCCAGGTCCCAGGGCCACCAGCCGGGCCCGAGTCTAGTCTCTGGCTGCTTCAGGGTTACACTCTGAAGTCCTGGGGGACCGTTCCCCCACCCCTGCCCGCAGCTCAGCCAGGCCCCTCCCTCGATGGCCCCCCACCCGCCCCTCGGCCTCCTGTTTGTTCCCTGACAGATCCCCGTTATCAGCAGAGAACACACACAGGAAGTCCGGCCGGGAAGGGCCCATCCCAATCCCGATTTACACGGGAGGGAGCATAAAAAGCCGCCCTTCCTCGCCCCGGGAGGAGCCTCCCTGCCCTGAGACGGCTGTCCCACGGCCGAGATGGAGGCTCCAGGGGACGGGCCAGGCGGGCAGCCTCAGGAGGTGCCTCGGGGCGGCCGGCGAGGGGTAGGGTCCACCCCCGGCCTGAGGAGGCAGCGGTGGTGGCCATGGCCAAGCCCGGGCCTGGGCAGCATCAGGTATGGCAAGGGTGGCCTCCGCAAGGGAGGGGCAGGGAGCGGGCAAAGCGGGGTGAGTGCCCGTCGGCTCCCGCTGACTGCAGCACCTGTTGGCTGAGCACGGGTCTGGGCCAGCTCTGGACTCTGCTCTCCGGCCACCATCTCATTTTCCTCCCGATTAGTACTGTCCCCACTGTGCAGAGGACACTCTGGACCCCTGGCCAAGGGCACCCACTGGTGGTTGGCCCAGTCTGGACTGAGTCTGGCCTGCCTGACTCCTACACTTACCCCAGGGCGGCCTGGCAGCTGCTGTGACCCTTGGAAGGAGGAGCCAAATGCAACTGGCATTCCCTCGCACCCCTCTTTCTGGGCCTGCTCTGCTCTCCTGGAGAAGCCCCTGGGGTCGCAGGCAAAGCCTGCTCAGCTCATCCCTCCTCTCTGAAACCCTGATGTCCCAGGAGCATCCTCCAAGGGTGGACAGTACTCCCAAGGGGTCGAAGAGGGACCCCAGGGAGAGTAACCCCAAAGCCGAATGTGCGGCCAGGACAAGCCGTGCACGTTGGGGGCACTGAACGTGGGACCTGGAGGATCCCCACCTCCTGCTGGGCTGGCTTTGGGGGGGTGGGGGGTCCTCAGGCAGAGGGACAGTTTGGAGGAGTGAGGTGTGGGCACTTGTTCGGCCGCCTGGGACCCTAGGGGAGCCCCTGTTCTCCCTCTCCAGCCCCACCCAGAGCAGCCCGAGGTCCCCAAGCTGGAGTGGGGGCCTTTCCGGCCCCTGCCCCTCCTGTTGTCTCGGGCCACACCAGCAGTCTGTCCCAGTCACGCTCACCCATTTTTCAGACGGGGAACGGAAGGCGAGGCCTCAGCCCAGGTGAGCAGCAGAGTGAGGACCAGCTGACCCAGCCCCCGAGGCTCCCCCTTTCTGCTCAGGCAGGAGAGGCCACAGGCAAAGGCGGGTCACAGGGTCAAGTGACCACAGCTTCAGGGACAGGATAGGGTCAGGGGACAGGGTGGGGAAGCTCTCCCTCTGAGTCCCCGCGGCTCGGCTCTTAACTCTTTACTGCCTGGGACTGGGTGAGGGCCGCCCCACTTGGGTTTGGGGGGCCAGGAGACCTAAGGTCCCCCAGGGCAGGCCCCCCTTCACAATTACAGGCATCCCAGCAGCAGTTGCCCCGGCTGCCCTCAGACCATCTGCCAGGGACTTCAGGGCCCCCTGGTCCAGGGCAGTAGCTGCTGGACGGCAGGAAAGGGAGGCCTCGTTCTGGGGGCTCCTGTCCAGGCACCTCGGTCCCCTCCCTTCCTTCAGCTCCCATGTGCCGAAGTAGGCCCGAGCCAGATGCCCCACAGCTGCTGGCTCTGCAAGGAGGCCCTCCCCTTTCCCAAGAATCTGCAGGACCCTCACCAAGCACCCGGGCTCTGCAGAGGGACCTTGAGCTGCAGACGCGGCAGCCTCTCCATCCTTCTCTCCGGGGAGCCCAGGGCAGGAGGCAACGGCCTCACTTGACAGATGGGAAATCATGTCTGCCCCCAGGCCGAGGGTGTGAGCCACGGCGGATCTGGGAGGCCCATCCGGTTTGGGCCACCATGGGGGTGAGCATCTGTAGGCCAAGTGCAGGCTGAGGTCCCACAGTGGCATCGACACTCGCCTCTGGCCCCCTCCCCAGCCCCTGGATGTCAGGGTGGCGAAGGCTGTGTGCTAACCCACACCATGTCTCTGACCCGCAGACCCCGGCAGAGAGGCAGCACGGGTGGCCCCCACTGCCCAGAAGAGCAGCTGCCACCAGTGTCCAGGGGATGACGGAGGCCCCTTCTCCAGGTGAGTCCCACAGGAAGCCCGGGATGGTCTGGGCAGCAGCAGGAGCCTGGCCTCGCCCAAGCATGTTTATACGCACACACATGCACTCAGGTGACCAGGGCCCGGGCCTGGGTTCGAGGGCAGGAACTGCGGAGGGAGCAGGCCCAGCACGTCACACATGGTGGCAGTTGTAATAATCACGATACAGAAGTGACCGGCTCGAGAACAGAGTTCCCAGGCAGGGCCTGCCTGCGACTGGTTCCTGACGTGCCTGCCGCTGTCTCCTGGTGGGCACTGCTGCTCCTGGGCACTCTGCCACGTGGGGCCAGGTACAAATGTGGGAAAGGAGCCCCACAGAGGAGAGAAGTGACCCCCTCAGAAGCCCCCAGTGATGACCATCGGGTTCAGAGGACTCCCTGGGGACCTGCGGAGCATTCAGGGGTGGTCCTGACTGTCCTGAACAAAGGGGGTGCCAGATGGGATCCCTGCCAGCCCCCTAACCTGGCACCCTGGTTGGCAGGGAGGCTTGGCGTCACACCTAGGACCCAGCTGGCTCTGCCACAGCTCCCCCTGTGACCTCCTGGGAGTACAGGGTCTCCGGGCCTCGGGCTCCTGAATGCCCACCCTATGTGCGGCTGCAAAGCAGGAGTCAGCTTTAGCCAGCCCCTGGTGGCTTAGTGAGCAGGCCACACAGTTGTGATAGCCATCCCCACGGCCTAGGGCTCAGCCTGGAGAGGTTCGAGAGCTAGCCACCCCCGGCCAGTGTGGGCTTCCCCCACGCAGCCTCCGGCACCTGGCCAGAGGCTCCGTCTTGCGTCCCCTGCGGCCGCGCGCCCTGCGGCGGGGACTCGAGCGGGCTCGGGAGGGGCGCCGGCGGCGCTCAGAGGCGGGCTGTGCGTCAGGAACCCCGGGTCTAGCTGATTCACTGCGCGGCCCGGGGGGCGCTGTCCGCCGCGGGGCCTCAGTTTCCCCATCTGCGCAATGGGGGTGGGAAGGCGG